TTTTTTTTTTTTTTTGTAGACTCTTCCCAAAATTCTTGATAAGCTAGCACCTGCATTCACAATGAGCAGCTGCAGCTTTCTGGTGGAGAAATCCCGAGCCTCTACCGCCCGGGTGGTGGTGTGGAGAGAGATGGGCATATCTAGAAGCTACACCATGGAGAGCAGCTACTGTGGCTGCAATCAGGGCCCCTATAAGGTAAGTGAGGCTGCTCACCCCACTCCCACCCCTGTGCTCCCTGCTCAGCAGACTTATGTAGAAATGGGAGCAATAACAGACCCATTGTCCCCACTTTCTCACTTTGAAGCATAAGAAGGCTCCAAGTAGTCTAGCCCTGCCTCTTTGCCTTGAAGAGCAGATTCAATGTTTGCATCTTTTCTGTGTACCCTAGAAGAAATGTGTGCCTATCTTCCAGTTAGTTCTTCCATCAGATGGGCTCAGCCAGGAAGCATCAAGGAGCCTCCCTCTGACCTGCATCCCCTACTTTTGCAAAATTTCTTCTTGCCTGACTTTGTGATATGCATGGAAAACTGTTGTCTTTTGTAACAAGTGGACTAGTCCCACATGTACCATAAAGGGCATAGATCATCTGTGGATATTGTCAATACATTTATGTGTCACATTTGTCTTCTGTGTTTATCTAAATCAACAGCTCTCTGTGTTACCCTGCACGGAAGTGTGTACATGGCATGGTCTCCCAGAATGAGAGGGTCTGGAACTCATGTACCAGTGTCAAGGGAAAGTGCTCTTGTATAAATCATGTTCTTTCTACAGCTATATTAACTGCCTGAGCAGCTGGATAGCTGCTGTAGCAGGCTGTGCTGGCTGCTCTTCTCATTCCCCCATAGAGAAACATAAATAAGGGACACTGTGACAGTGCCAGGGTAATAGACTCTTTTAAATTTCTTAGGCAAGCTGACAGTCTGTTCCTTGGTGATTTCCATTCAGTCCTGTGAATACCTTGACCTCACCAGCATTCAAGCTCATTGTGTTGGCTTTGATAGTCTTGTGGAGCAGCCAGGAAAGACTTGGAATCTATGCAATCCCGAGCTTGTAGGAATCTGTTCACTATCAAAGGGAGTGTGGGAGTGACAGGCAATGAACATTGTCTGACTTCCCACCTGGCCAGAGGTTTTTGACACTAGGCCATTCATGATAAATCAGCTGGGCACTCCAAGTCCTTTGAGTTTTGTTTTTTTGTTGTTGTTGTTGCTGTTTTGAAAGATAAATGGCTCATAGGCCAGCCCCTCATCAACTCTCCATCTTCCATACAATACAGATAATGGCTACTAGAAAAGACAAAGAATTTTAAAAGAGGCCCACCCGATGGGATGGCTTTCAAATATCCATGGTACATTTATCGTGAAATTTTCCACATGGCTTTTGCATGAAGGTCTGTAGAAAAAGAATGGAGAGAGAACAAGCTAGAGGAAAACCTAACAGTGCCAGACCTGGTTTTAGTTTAAAAATCGCATTCTGTATATGAAACACCTCTCTGAATGGGTTGGTTTTCCCCCTTTCCTTTGTTTTCCCTGCCCTTACAAACACTGTTGAGTAACTGAGCAGAACTGCAGACAATGAGTGAAGGGGTGATGAGTAATTTTACATAAGAGAGGGCCCACCCTAAAAGGGAAAGAAGCCAGCACAGAGATGGGTGTTTTGGTGATTTTTGCTTGAGGTATATAATAAAGTCTATGAGCTATAAAGCAGTATAGAAATTTCCATCCTGAACATATTGCAAATGAGTTTTGTACATTGGGAAGCTGTGTCCCAGTTGGGTCTTGAGGTTATTATTCTAAGGTCATCTTTCCATTTTTTTGTTTAGCATTACCATTTATCCAAAAGATGGAGGATACTTAAATACACTCATGAGGGGCATTCCTTCCTTCCTTCATAAGAATATAAATATTTTTGCAGTTTCTCTGTTAAACGTGGCTTTAAAGTAGTTCCAATCATTTCTCCCCCAGCACCCTAAGTGCCTGATTTGTTAGTAGTGAAATGAGATATCATTTCTTACAGTGACATTTATGTTGGAACTACATTAAAGAACATAAGCTATTACCTTCAAATAATTATTATGAATTTGGTATTTTCCCTTCTATTTTCCAGTCTATAGCTGGCTAATTTTAAAAAAATTCCTCTGCTTTTATTTCTTTGAGATACAGTCTGTGCTGCGAGTTATACACTGAGATCCATAATTTGTATTTAATGTGGAAGTCCCACCCACCGAGAGATTTACTTTACCTATTAGTGACTGGCCCAGAGTTATTGAGGCTGTTCAGGGGAAAGTCAAAGTAGAATAATACATTCTCAGGGGGCTCATTTTTTGGAGGCATTCAGTCTTTGTGGACAGCTCTGTGTTTCATGTGAGTGTTTGTGACCTGGGGTTGCATACATGGTGTGTTTGCACATACAGAGACATGTGATGGGGCCCTGTGGGAAGCTGGTGGCTTAGGAGGATAATGCTAGTACTCCCACCCAAGCAGGCTGTAGACTCGCTTCTTGGCAAGGTGACTGACTTGTGGGATGGCAAAGTGGACTTAGCAGAGGAAGGATGGAAGATGGGTGACTCAGCTGAGGTTTGAAGAGTGATTTAATCAGTCTTTAAATCCTCTATCTGCAAACTGCATTCTTTGAGTTGGAGACCCCACAAGTGATCCATCTTCCTCAACACCAGCACAGGGTTTTTTAAGTAACCTAATCTGTTCAAGTTATAGTATCGCCGATAATCCATCCAACTCTCTTCATTATGTCTAGCTAAAATCTAAGTATTTATTATGATGTTAAGGCCTTTTGCAATCTTTATTTTTTAAACTCTCAATGCTTAGTGTAGTAGAGAGTAGGTATTAGAAATGTGTAATGACTGATAAATGAATCAGTAAGTGAACAAATTAATGAATGGCCATTTCCAGGTAGTGAAATGTTTACCTTTATGACCAGGGGTAACTAGAAAAGAAGAAAGTATTGCTGTGGTCCAAATGTAATCAGAAGCCACTCCAAAGAAGAGATTTTAGGAGTGGTTGCATTGCATGGGATGGACCAAGTGTGGATGAGAGAGGGAAGACAGAATGCAGTGCTGAGATCTTTCTGTGCACATGAATTGAGGGCATCAAATGGATTCTTGCCCAGAGTATGCATTTCTAACCCAGGTGTGGAATCTCTCATGGTCCCACTCTAATAACAGATGATGATTAGGCTGAAAGACTTCATCTGTACACACGGTAGATGCTGCTGTTCACCCTCTGGGGTCCCCTTTAGGACCCAGGTCTGAAATTTCCCTATATACTCACAGCTGTGTCCATCAGCAAACATTTCTTGTTGCTGAAGGAAGCTGCCTGCCCAAAGCTGGGCTCCTCCTACGGGGCTTTCTTCATCTAATGGCTGATCTAGGTGGGGTGCAAAGGCCTCGCCTCCTTGCTTCAGTTGGTACAATTCCAAAGGGCCTTTCCTGCTCAAACTCCCTGCAAGATCAGCTGGAGTCACTGTTGCAATTGCACTGTTTGTTGGTGTTCAGCTTCTCCCCAGTTCTGTTTTCCTACCACTCACAGGTGTTCCCATGAGCACTCTCCAAAAGTCTTTCCAAGTGCAAATCTCAGAGCCTCAAAGGATGCTTTCTGGGGAAGATACCTTGTAACACTATTTCACACAAAGGCTTCGATTAGAAGACATAAATGTTGGAACTTGGCGCTTAAACTGTTGGAGATGGCTTGATAGGAATGAATTTCTTCCAGAAAATTAAGTCATCTGAACTCAGCATTCAAGGCCCCCAGTGTCCATTTATTCAAGCTCTGCTTGGTTTATTTTTTGGCGAAATGAAGTCCCCTCTTGACTAGAGATTGCAGCTTGGGGAAGGGATTCTGGTACAGATTCACAATAGAGGCTGGGCATGTTAGTTTTGTAGGACCACAAATGACCACAAACTGGGTGGCTTAAAACAACATAAATTTGTTTTCTCACAGTTATGGAGGTCAGACGGCTGAAATCCAGGTTTCAGCAGGGCTGTGTTCCCTCTAAAGAGTCTAGGGGAGATGCTATTCCTTGCTTTTCTTAACTGCTGGTATTGCCAAGGTTCTGTGATATCCCTCGGCTTGTAAATGTACAGCTCCACCCTCTGCCTCTCTTCTCACTTGACCTTCTCCTCTGTGTGCCTTCTCCATCACTTCTTCCCTTCCTACAAGGACACCAGTCATGTTACAGTAAGGGACTACCTCACTACAATATGAGCTCAACTAATCCCATCTGCGGCAAGCCTATTTCAGAATGGATCACATTCTGAAGTTCTGTGAAAGAGACCAATTTGGGGAGGCACTATTCAGTGTAGATATCTAGGACAAAACACAAAGTACAGTACACCTAGGCCCAGGAATTAAAGGAAGAATTTTATTCCTGTCTTTATATCGCCATGCTGTGAAGCCCTGCATGTGTCTTTCACAGGTCTTATAGTCTTTCTTCCTTAAGACCAGAAAAATAAGTTTTCTTGGACTTTCTTAAGAAACATGTTTGAGAGTCATGACGTGTGACAGGTGACTAATGCTGCTTGAGTATTATAATACATAATATTTAAGTAGAAAGAATTATAGTAAACACACACGTGCACTAAACCTTTATCATGTATTACATTACTCCCTATTTGATGCTGCAAAACAAAGCACTCCACTCAGTTTTATTATGCTTGGCATCCTTATTTTACAAATGAGCTTATTTAGTCTAAGAGGTTGAATCACTTGCTCATGGTCACCGAGCTGGTAAGTTTTAGAGCCAGGATTTGAAGCCAGGTGGCTTGAACACTAGAATATTTGCTGCAGACTAGTAAAGTGTGATTGGAGAAAGGAGCCCTGTGCTTCCACAATGGTAATCTCAGCTTCTGCATTTGGCCACCATTAAGTACAAGGTGTGATCACAAAAAGTGTGGATGGTTAACTAACAATATATTACAGTAAAAGACATGTTGCTATTAACACTGCCTGAAATGTCAACTCCTCCTCTCTTCAAACACAGTTATGTCTTCATCCCTGCCACTTTCTGAAGCAATTCTGGAAGTCCTCTTTCCTAAATGTCATTTTTGTGGCTGCCACAAAATGTCCTGAATTGATTCAAAGCATTTCCAACAATTTCTGTCAAATGAAAACATTACCATTTTCCGTCTTATTCATTGGATCTGTCACTGTGAGATTTCTGTCTCCTCCCCAAAGTGAAAA